AAACAGGCAAGAAAATCCCTCAGAGAAGCAGCTTCTCCTCACTTCAGTCCTCAAGACAACAGGTAAGAAAAGAGAAGAACTTTGCAAATCACTATAGAAGAACTTCTTTGTGTGACTGAAAATTACCCTGACCTTTCTCTGAGGAATGGTGAGATGCGTGGTTTCCACAAAATGTCATTAGACAATCACATCTAGACATCCAGAGAACATTTGCTCAATGCTTTTATTAGCAAAAATTCCTACAGTCTGTTTCACTAACACTTTTTGTGAACTACGCGTTGCTGCTTTTGTATTCGTGATGAAGAGACATGATGCCTGTCTGAACAGTCCCAACAGTACCCAACAGGACCGCCTAGGTATATAGCTTTGCTTCCAGATCAGACAATGTTTCTCATTTTGCTCACCTATTCTTCAGGCCATCATCTCCAAGAGGAAAATAATCTTGTTATTGGCTGAAAAGTATCCCCTCCCTCCCATGTAATAATATGAGATTGCCCCTGCAGAGTGTGCTTTCCTGAACAACAAATGAAAGAAAGACACGCAAAATTACCCGAACTTTGTGCGTTTTCCACACATGGCTGTTGAGTATGTAGATCTGGGAGACACAAAGATGTGCAGGAGTCAAGAGTTGGAGGCAGGGCTGCAAGCACAGGCAGGGACTCATGGGTTAGACTCCTTCTGCAGCTGGGACCCGTGGCTGCACTAGGAGTGAAGGGCATACTGGGAATGAAACGGGCACATGTTTTACTCAATCACACTTTTGCACCTTCCTTTGGCTTAAGGCATGAAGTGCTTGTTCCTCCCCTATGCATCATGTCTGTGCCAGTCCAGGCACGGATTTGCATGGTGTAAACCAAGTTTAAATGATTACCTTCTGGAATTACTGATACAAAATTTAATGTGATATTTTTACCTTCAGCCCTTGCAGTTCCTGGAGTGCAGGTTAAAAGCTGCATTTATTGCAGGCATTTATTTTTATTAAGATAAACTCTTTGCAGTCCACCAGAAACACTGAGCTTGGGGGGAAATGCACTGTAGCTCCCTCTGTTATCAGCTATAGTTGGAAGCACAGTAAGCTGTGGTGCTAATCATACAGCATATAAACCAACACAAGATGCAGAGTAAGCACCGTGCAAAGCATGTGCTATTAGAAACATCCTACAGGTCACCAGTGTTGGCCTAGGACATGTTTTAATCTCCACCCCTGGCCTTCCATGGCAGCAGACTGTTGTGCTTAGGATGCTCCTCAGGATCCTCTGAAGTCAGGGCAGAACCTCTGCTACCTGGTAGGGACATCCTTCGTGCAACACTCGCCCAGGCGTCAGGATGGGGAGACGTGTTTCCCTGCTGCCTCCGCTCTGGGATCTGACGGGGCAAGGTGGAAGGCAGGACTGGAAATTAGATTTCTGGATGACAATATTTGAGAGATAAGTAAAGGAAGGTTACCCTGTGCCTAGCCCTGCATTAAGTGATGAGAAGCCATAGATGTGAAGCAGTTTCCTGCTGTTATTTTTAAAGTAAGAATAGGAAACTGATAGGCCAAGGTCAGACTAAAGCTGAAGTGTCCTCAGCCATCCAAAGCTAGTGCTTTAGGAAAAGTACAAGGACAGGACAAATAATGTACAAACAAAATACCCTCCCAGGCTATTTGTACTACAGTGATTTCCTGAACTGAGGCGGTGCCTTTGTTAGTAGCCTGTAATTTGCTTCCTTGAATATGCCCTTAAATTGCATCAAGTTCTCTTAACTTGATTTGAAGCCACGAAGCTTCCATCTGCAGAGCTGTGGGTCGTGCCCAGGCTGTGGCAGCATTCAGAAAAGGAGAATCCTTTAGAGGTAACACTCCAACATTTTCGGAGGGGCAGTCAGACAGGCACTTCTCTCTCTTTAGCCTCTCAGTCCATCCTGCAATACGACTGCGTGTTTTCCCAGCTCGCACAAGAGCTTTCTCCTGGCTGTAAGAGGAGGTCATGCTGCCACCCCCCACCATCAGACAGAGGCAATTTTTGCTTGTCTGCTGTTGTCCCCTGCTGCTGGGGAGCACACTTGCCTTCCAGGATCTGCAGCAGTATAACATAGTAAATGCCACCAAAGGCACTTTCCATTTCCCTTAGCATTCGAGAAAGGAGAATCAAGTCACAGTTGGGCTTGTAATTAAGTGTAGTAACAACAGCTTGTATAATGCAGTTGACTTCTGGTTTTTGCAGTATCAATTCAAATGTGTCACACTGAGATCATTTTGTGCACAGTCCAGTTGGGTTTTGCATGTCGGAACATGTGGGAAGGAGTTTTAAGAGGTTTTGCTGAAGCACAGCATCACAAGTGTTGAGAGCAGAGGGCAATGACAAAAAAATTGCGATTGCTGGTATTTAGTGTGTTTCCTGACCACCACGTATTTAATACTTCTTCACTAGTTGCAAAAAAGCACAACATTTTAGTCAAAGAGGTGCTCTAGGTCAGCAGCTACTGCACTTCAGGAGCTGTTAACTCTCAGAGTTTCTGGGCTGTCACCAGCTACCTTTACCATCAAAGCAGAATACCATAAAGGCAATGCAGTGTGGTGTTCCAATGCAGGTCCATAACCTCTGTCTCACAGTCTCATGGCCCCCAGTGGCTCCCACCATGGGAACCCCTGCTCTTCCTCAGGCAGGGTGTAAACCTGGGCTGGGCTTGTCTTCTTTGGCCTCTGCCAAGCTCCTCTGTGAAAATTTGTGTTGCCAGACTTTGTTTGAAGCAGACCAGAATGCAAACCCTGAAACACTGGGCTTTTATTGTGGGGTTTTTTTTTGTGCCAAATTCAGTGTAATCCTTTCACTTCCCTTCTCTGCTGAACTCTCTGCCTGTAGCGCTAACATCCCAGGGGTGTTTTGTTTTGGGAGGTGTAAGAGGCACTGAGGTTGTTCCTCAGAAAGCGCTATGGCCAGGACAGTGCCCACTGATGAAGACAGGAGGAAAGCAGTGATGCTCAGGATAGACAGAGCCCTTTCATTTGACTCCTGCTGTGGCAAGCCTGACACTTTTAAACCCGAAATTATACTCTCTGCAGTCTCATGAGACTTTTATTTGTTAAAAATCAGTGCCCCATGGCAGGCTTTCAGGTAGTTCCTGAACAAGCTAAGGACACCTGGAGAGCGCAACTGCAGTGGCTCTGGAAAACGTGTTCAATTAGGCACTGCAGGTTTGCTCTGATCTGATGTTAGACATTCAGTGTTTGCATGAGATTTTTAGGCAGCTCATGTTGAAGACTAGAAATTTTATAGTCAATCTGTAAGTCTTATCATATGTAATGGATCTGTCTGAACTGAGCAGACATCCCCAGTGTTATTTAAAGCCTCCAGATTTTAATATATTGCAAATAAATGCATTTACTGGAGGGTAAGGATGGGAGCTATTTTTCTTATCCTATGGAAAACTGTGTAAACTACTGACTGGATAAGACCAGTGAAGTAAGTCACCTGTTAGTCAGTCATGCTTACAGAGTGTCAACCAGGCAAAACATATTTGCCTTTGAAGCAGAGAAGACCCCAGCTCCAGACACTTGTCACCAGAGACCCCTATCAAGCCCTTTCCACTATGTGGGTGAGAAACCTCAATTTAATTCCCAACAATGTCAGCTCTGATCAGTGTGATCACACCAGATCCTAAAATTGTGAAATTTGAACTGTAGGGAGTAATCTGTAGATTTTATAGTTCATAGACTTCATAAAAGTTTCTAGTTGTTTGTAGTAATAAACAAACCTTTACTTGCTTTATGTTTTTTTGAGCTTAAAGGATGCTCATGGACCACATCTTTAGGCTTTTCTCTGTAGCTGAGAGGGCTATGAATCTGCACTGTAAAAATAGAGAGCGGAGAGTCTTCCGTTATCACTGGCCTGAGGGAGCATGAAATTGAAAACGTCAGACATCGCAAGGCTTATCATAAAAGCATGGGAATTGCTTAGACCCTGATGTCTAGCAATGTATGCAGGCAGGACTGGGACTAGTATTCTGCCCACGTGCAGGAAAGCAGATGCCTGGACAAACCAACATTTGAAAACATATTTCTGCAGTTGTTTGGGGTTGTTTTTTTTTGACCTTTGTTAGTACGTGACCCTTGCCAGAAGCTGTGAAGAATGCTGTGTATTCCCCTAGTACTGTGTGTATGGTTGCCTATTCATTTTCTTTATTAAAACCTGGACAGAGGAAAATGGACCAGATTCCACTTCATTACCCCTGCTCAACTTCATCAGCTGCACAGAGTTGTGGTGAAATAACAGCTTTTGATGGAGTACATCCAAAAGCCCACTACTAACATGCGTGGTAACAGATGCTATAAAATTGCAGAGGGTAAACGTTTGGCAATTCTCCTCTAACGCGGCTACCTTGTGCCAGCAGCCGTGTGGTCCAGCTCAGCCTTCCTGCTCAGGAGTGAAGTATGAAGCAGAGGCAAGTCTATTTTGGCATTGGTAGCACTTCCAAAGCGAGGGAGGATTTGAAGAACCACTGAATTCAGGAGAAAAATCAGGTTGGCAGAAACCTCGGGATGTTGTCTGCTCTAAAACCCCTCTGAAAGCAGTCACTGAGTGATGGGTGCAAGCTTGTGCCTTGATCACACTTAACTGCAGGATGCAGGGTTAAGGTGGTTGTTGTGAGATTCACCTAAAAGACATCTACAATAGAGACCTCACCACTGGAGCAAGCTTCCTGTATTGTCTTCGTGGTCACAGAAAAGAGAAATGGGCAGGACAAGGGGTTTGTCCTGTTTTGGAGAAGCTGAGCCAATTGTGGTCTGGTGAATCCCACCCAAGAGTGCATATTTGTGTTGTATTTCTTGCTGCTCTAAGATCAATAGTAACAGGGAAAAGGATTGCGTTGGAGAATTGCCTTCAGATGAAAAACCTGAAATGAAAAGTATAAAAAGCTCTTTTTATTTGTTCTTTTGTTCTCTCCCTTCTAGTTGATCAACCCCAGGGCAGATGAGTCACTTACCGCCCCTGCCCCCCAGCCGGGCACCCGTGGAGATGCAGTCCCCCAGAGCAGTGGGCAAGAAGCGAGGGCGGCCTCCACTCCAGCCAGCGCCCATCAAAGTGGCTGTTCACAACCTCTACTCGGCACCAGCTGGTGCTTTGCCGGTCGTGAAGATCCCAAAGAAGAGAGGGAGAAAACCCGGGTACAAGGTAGATACGTGATTCTCACACTCTTTACCTCCTGCTGCTTTTAATACTTTTACTTCTAGAATTTCAAGTGGAATGCAGGAATAAAGGCAAAGTTGTGGAAAAAAAGTAAGAGAAGCTGGTTTCTCATCTACCTGAGCTGGTGAAAAATAGAGGGAATTTTTTTTTGTTTAAAGTGTGCAGTCATTTTAATTTACATTGTGAAAGTAAGTTATCTCCTGCAGTGTTGTGTTAGGTAGCCGAGCATCTTCTGGGAAGTGTTCCTCTCTCATTTGTCTCTTTTTCTTCTCTCTCATTAACATAACTAGAAATGAAAGAAAATCAAATGGAAAGGGAAGGAATATGGGGGAGTGAGAATAACAGGAGAAAATAAATCTACTTCCAAAAATATAAAGAGACATTTTAGAAACTAATGAGATTTCACTTATTGAGGGAATAGCAGTTTTGATTTTTTCTCTGCTCACTTTAGGGGGGAAAACCATGCCCAGCTCTCAGTGTGACGCCGGTAGGGAGGCAAGGCTGAAGAAAGAAAGAAAGAAGGAAGCCCTGAGACTCTTCAGCCCTTCACATGCTGCTGGAGGTCTAGGGCTCTCCCACCTTAACCTCCCCGATGGCTCAGCACCGACAGGAGAGGGGCCTCTGTTGTGCCTCAGACCGGGAGACTTTTCCCCTGTGATGCTGAGGGGAATTTATTCCAGGTGGTGAAAATGAGCTATGCTGTAGTGAGGTGTCTTGTTGTCAGCAGATTCCTCCATTACTCTCTCCATCTCTTTCCACAGGGGCACTGAACATGTTTGCTGTACCCGTTCCTTGTTTTAAATGGGAACAGATACGGACATGCAGTCTGTTACACAGGGAGGGCAAGTTGCTGACTGTTAGAAAACAATAGCTGTATAAGTTCCTAATGTCAAATCAGAAGAGAGTAACACAAGCGGTGTGTGCTCAGGGCTTGCCTCAGCCTTCCCCAGAGAAGGTCTTGGCCCCAAGCATTGCCCAGGTCTCTCCCTGGGTCTCTCCTTGTTCATAGGAGGCAGCCAGGCCCCATGTCAGCACTGCTGGCCGAACCCCAGGCATGGGGACCAAATGTCACAGCCCTTTGGGTTTAGGCTTTCTCCAGAGCAGGCCACCCTTACGGTTGCCCTTTCTTCCTTTTCACCTCCTGATAGACCTTCTTGTTCCTATCCACCAACCTCAATCCTCTCTCCTCTCTCTTTTCCAGGCAAGCCCTCCTCACCATCCCTCTGCATCCCACTTCCAGAATGCCCCAGTCCTCCGCATCCCTCTGTGCCACACCTACTGCAAGAGATATTGGTACCTCAGCCCTCTGTGTTTTCTCCTCTTCATCTGCGTTCTCCCATGCCTCTCCATGCTCTCCCTACTTCATCCCTCTCTGCTATGGAAGCACATTTTGAAGTGTATTTCAGTGCATGCTGAAAATAGACCTCGCATGGTGCAATTAATCTTGAGACGACCACAGAATTTTATAGCGGTGGGGAAAAATAGAAGCTGTGTGCCCAAGCTAAGACTGGGGTAAGTAGAATCATAGAATCATAGAATCATAGAAGTACTCCAGTGTTTTGTAAAATGTGGGATATGGAAATACTTATTATTTTTCACTTCAATATTAAGTTAAAACTCTGGGACAGAAACATCCAAATTGTTTTACTTGAGGTACTTGTTATTACAAGTGTATTATCTATTATATTTATATTACTTTATTTACTACAAGTAACAATTTAAATTATTGTCAGTAAAGCTAAGTTCTTTGTAGGCTCTTTAGATCAAAACCATCCAAATCTGGGATTATAATACTTCGGAAATGTGGCGAAGTTGAGTCCCTGAGATAATTAAGCAATTTGCCAAATACCACAATGACCTTATATGCAGTTTTGGCAGACCCCACCCCTTCTGCCCCTCCTTGTCTTGCTGACCTTCATTTCTAATTCCTGCATTAATACAGAATTTGTGATTTGACAGAAAAACTAATGCTGGGGAGCGTGTTCTGTTCCACCCCAAGTGCACCCATCCACCTGTGAAAAAGTGTCCCACCAATCACTGTATTTTTAAGTTGGAGAAGCGAAAAGGGAGACTTAAATTTCCTAAAATATTGCAGTAACATTTCTCTTCAGACCTAAGTAGCCAACGACTTGATTGCTGTTGTCTCATCTTCTTCTGAAGGGAAGTTTTTCCCTGTCTGGGTGCCACACGTGCTTCCTCTCTATCCCCATAAACTTAGTGAGGAGGTGACAGCATCCCTCCTTTGGCACTGGGATGATGATATTTCTTGGTGAGTGATGTAGAGCAAAAAGGCAGTCTTTTATGGCCCACAACTGAAGTTTCTTGAGCTGACACTCATGAGCTGTAGCATCCGCGGCATCTGGCCTGGTGCACTATAGAATTCATATACTGAAGCGACGTTTTCTGTGAGGTGCCTTTGTACATTGTGAGATGAGCTGAAGTGAACCTCTCTCCATCAAAAACACTTCCCAGCACGAGTAATTTTTTGACTGGGGAACTCTAGCTTGATTTAATTAGCTCACTAATTGTATGACTTTCAGATACCATGAGACTTAAACGTATTTTAAAAAATGACTCCCTGCCCAAATGGCAGACAACCAAATTCTTTATAGCAACCAGATAGCTGAATTATTACTGAACAGATGGAAAAATACTTCTGAATTTTTAGCAAACTAGGAATTTACAGCCTAGATTTAAATTTATTTTGACCAAGATGTGAATAACAGATATTTTTTATCACATGTTCTTTATAGCCAGATGACCCATTGCCCGTTTTCATTGATATTAAAGCAAATATCTCCGTCTTCTTAAAATGACATTTCATCATGCTTCACCACTGACTAAAGTCCTTTTCCGTGCTATCCTGTTTACTTTTCCATAGCTTTGGTTATAAAATTTCATCAGCTCCTTTTTCCAAAAATTGTTTTGTAACCGATTTGGAGCTATTTGCTGTAAAATACTACATTTTCCCT